TTCCAAGTAACTGGAACTATAGGTACATGCCACTGTGCTGGCTGCTGGCTAATATTTTGATTTATTGTAGAGATGAGGTCTCGCTAAGTTGCTCAGACTGGTTTTGAACCCCTGGACTCAGGCAATTTTCTTGTCTCTGCCTCTCAAAGTGCTGGGATTACAGGTGTGAGCCACCACGCCCAGCTCCTTCCTTCAACTTTCCACAACATTCTAAATAGCCATTAAGAGTGAAGTATCAAAAGGATTTGATATAATTGTCTAAATGTTGAGACTACACGGAAATGAGAAAGAAATTTATTCCTGGATTTCAAGCTTTTCCAGGCCTGCCTTTTTCTATCGTCAACGCCCTACACAATAGTTCTGGCACAAGATAGCATTTCCATAATTGTTGATCCAGTGAGGTGTTTTATCTTATTGCTGGGTGGCCAGGATGAGGATCAGTGCATCCTGTTGTGAGGCTTAAATAAAGAACACACATAAAATGTACTTGAAAAGACATAAAACTTATACAAACATATTGTTTTCACTGGTGCTCCAATGAATTTCTATGAGAAAAAAATTCAGAGTGCTCTATATAAACCGGAAAATTAATTATAAAACTTCTGTTTATTTGTATTTTGTACTTTCCATGTGCCAAGGACATGAGAAAGAAAGGAGCAGCTCTTGACATCAGGGAACTAGTTTGACGCTTATAGCTAAGCCTTAGTGTTTTTAGAAACTGGTCTGACACTCATAGCTAGGTCATGTTTGGTTCTCCTGACAGATAACATCTTACAGAAAACCAGCATCATACAAGGCCACTCTGTGACCATGATGGAGTGAGGGAAAACATCACCACTTCTGATTTGTGTCTAAGCAATGACAACTACAAGGTCAGTGTGTAAATCACAAAATGCCAGTGCTAAATAAATTCATGGGAAGACATATGGACTAAGCCCCAGCAGACCAGACCAAATCAGAATGAAGTCACTTGTTCTTTCTGCTAAACTCGAAAATGGGCCAGTTAAACAACAACAACAACAACAAAACAAAACAACAACAGGAAACAACAAAACAAAAAAACTAGGAGATTCACAGCAACCTATCAGAAGGGGCCAAGAGCTGGCATAAGAAAGTTCCCTCTGTCTTAACTCTGTAAAATAAGTAACTTTGAAGCCGGGCTCGGTGGCTCAGCCTGTAATCCTGCACCTTTGTGAGGCTGAGGTGAGTGGATTGCCTGAGCCCGCAGGTTCGAAACCCGCCTGGGCAGCGAGA